ACGAGATATCATTTACAGCTTCCAAGATGCAATTTCCTCTGGTGTATGATAGAGGTCCTTGTGTAAGAACTAAATCAAAGGCATCAAAGGGTAAGTATTGAGTAATGGAAAGATTTCCTGAATAACGTAATGACACACACACACAAAAAAAAACTACATTCAGGCCAGTGGCATGGAATAATAGCTTACTATACTTATAAGACCCTAAATCTATAAAACCCATGCAGTCCAGCTTCTGAAGAATAATATACTTCATTTTAGCACAGAAAAATGATGAAGTAAAATGGAACTGACACTATGACTTGTCATGGCGGAAGGAGGCAAGCTAATAGGGTGGCAAGGCTATGTAAACGCATGTATTGCTGCCTTTAACAGCATCTAGTTAACTTCAGCTCAAGGGAAACTCTATTCTCTTGGAATAAAAAAAATAATATGCAAGTATGCTGCTATTGTTTATTATGAGGCTTTGTTTCCAAATTTTTTACTGTGCAACTTGAATGATTTTTTTTTTTTTTGGGGGGGGGAGGGGGGCATCTTACTCATTTTAAGTATAAAAATAAATTAAGATTATTTTATCGTTATACCCTTGTTGTTTTTTACAAAAAAAGGGAGAAAAACACCATAAAAACCTTTCCTCCTTTCTACAAGAATAAACAATACACAAAAAATAATTTTGCCTAGTGCTATGAAGTCATGTTGTCATTTCAACGACAGCACTTACCAGTAGTTCATAGATTATTAAGGCTGTGAAAATTCCCAATTGCTCCTCATGGTCAATGGCGCTCCCAGATGTAAAACAAATGCCATAAGTAACATTCATTTAATGAATTATTCATAGTTAGCTTTTACAAAAAATTACTTTGGGGCAAAATGGACACACCTGCAAATTAATCTCCTAAAAAGCTTTTAATAGATTAGATCACATCATTTCATGACATTGCATGATTCTGGCATTTTTAAACCCAATTTCACTTAACTCCAAGGCAGAAGCCAATTTTATGACTTCGTCATTTATATGAAGAGTCACACAAGAACAATGATATCAGTGAAAAACTGAATGTCACAGTGCCTGTAATCAGTACAAAATCAAACCAATTAACCATTAGATTAACAGCACAAACACCAGTCAATGTTTAAATTATGAGAACAATAGATCTTGTAGTGAGTTCATTTTCTACAAAAATACCAAGTGGTTCCGTTCACAAACCAGCACCTGCAATGTCTCATTGGCCATTGATTTTCAGTATCACAATTAGATCAAATTGTGGCTCATCTGCTCCACACACAAACACACCCTTCAATTAATTATTCATAGTTGCTCAGCTATCTGACAGCCACCATAATTTTTCATTAAGTGAAAGGAAAGGCCAGTGTCATATGTGAATATAAAAAGTTATGCACTGTTGGACTGCACCCTCTACCAGGGGCGTAACCAGGCATACGCACGGATGCACTGTGCGTACAATTTTTTGTGCCAACCATGATATTATTCTCCATTAATTTAGTGTATTTTTCAAGGAATATAATCGTACCTGGGAATTTTCAAAATCTGTGCGTACAATTTTTAAAGGTCTGGTTACGCCCCTGTCTACTTCCAATTCTAAATAGAGCAATGCACTAGAAGTGGCACATCTAAAAAGAAAATATCTCTTAATTTTTTGCAAAAAAAAAAAAAAAAACTGCACTTAATTTGTGGAAAAGATTTCTCTACCTCATGAAGCTACACAGGAAGATAAATATTCATCAGTACAACTTTTTTTAATTTAATGTCATTTTTTATTGTATTTGATGGTCCATTGCCTTCTTTGACAGTCCTTTATCAAATCAAAATCCTGACAGTTATTATGGCATTTCAATGTTTCATCAAGAAATGTGTTTCTTAAATGCATCACAATTAATGATATCCAACAATGCATATCTTTGATTTGATGAAAATTTCATTCAAAACTTCAATCTGAATGGGTCAACATAGTGTAAAATTTTAGTCTTAGAGCTTAAAACAATTTTCTAGCAAAGTCCTCTTCTGACACAGGTCCCACTTATGAGATCTAAAGAAAATCTGACTTTCATTTTGTGCAGACATCTTTGCAAATGACTACACTTTCGATTTAAATTACGTATCCATTTTTCATAATACTTCTATTTTGTATAAGGAAGAGACATGTAGTTCCTCTTATTTCAGTTCCGCTTCCTGATCAAAGATACAATTCATGAAAAATAAAGAAATACTAATAAAACTAGNTGCACTGTTGGACTGCACCCTCTACTTCTGATTCTAAATAGAGCAATGCACTAGAAGTGGCACATCTAAAAAGAAAATATCTCTTAATTTTTTGCAAAAAAAAAAAAAAAAAAACTGCACTTAATTTGTGGAAAAGATTTCTCTACCTCATGAAGCTACACAGGGAGATAAATATTCATCAGTACAACTTTTTTTAATTTAATGTCATTTTTTATTGTATTTGATGGTCCATTGCCTTCTTTGACAGTCCTTTATCAAATCAAAATCCTGACAGTTATTATGGCATTTCAATGTTTCATCAAGAAATGTGTTTCTTAAATGCATCACAATTAATGATATCCAACAATGCATACCTTTGATTTTGATGAAAATTTCATTCAAAACTTCAATCTGAATGGGTCAACATAGTGTAAAATTTTAGTCTTAAAGCTTAAAACAATTTTCTAGCAAAGTCCTCTTCTGACACAGGTCCCACTTATGAGATCTAAAGAAAATCTGACTTTCATTTTGTGCAGACATCTTTGCAAATGACTACACTTTCGATTTAAATTACGTATCCATTTTTCATAATACTTCTATTTTGTATAAGGAAGAGACATGTAGTTCCTCTTATTTCAGTTCCGCTTCCTGATCAAAGATACAATTCATGAAAAATAAAGAAATACTAATAAAATAAAAGTTCTCTTGGTGGCAGGGAAAGAGGTTCATAATCTACAGCACTATCATTCTCCAACTTGTAAACACCTTTCAGATATCCACTTGAGTAACCAAATATACTAAGGGAGATAAATAGGTGCTTGCCAAACAGGTGCAAACAGGGATTTATATTGTAGGTCCTCAAAGACCTTGTTATCCTGCTCCCATTTTCACTAACAAAGTATGGGATAAAATATCATATATAGCACCTGTGATACATGTACAATAGCTTACTTCCCCTCATTAAAAATGCTAACCTGTGAATATTAATAAAGGTATGACACCAATTACTCCCCCCCCCCCTCCTTCTAATAGTAGGACAATAAGATTATGATTAATTCCCACATTTGCTCAGACCCAGTGCAGGTTATCATGAAGTACAAATTAAGTGGCAGAAACCGATTTTCTGGAAAACCATACATAAATAAAAGAGGAGGAAGCAGGCTACCAGTTTTGCATTTTCTGCTACCTTGCCTTCAACAGGCTTTGACAAAATTGAAAGAAAACCTTGCAAATGGGTCTGTAAAGCTCAATAGATCACGTACAGACCCACATGCAATCATGCATTATTATTGTTACAGAATGAGCATAGATTATGATCTTACATTCTTGAAATGTAAGGACATCAGATTCACCCAACCTAACCTTGATTGATGACACAGTTGCAGAATTTTTTATCAATCAGAGGAAACATTTTATATCTATCTGTGGCAATGATGTCAGGTGACAACAATGTCACAATTTTTGATGTTAACTTAGAGGACATTAAGTTTTTTTTTTTTTTTTTTTTTGCAAACTTGATTTTATAATATCCTGTCTATTTCATGCGGAGGTAGAGAGAAAAAACACGTGACTACATGTACTACTACTGATAGGAATGAAGTACATCAAGGCAAAAAGTGCCATTTTTTCCTGGTCTCAAAGTTTTCTTACTAACTGATCTTAACTTCACTAAAAATACAAAATCATTTATTAAAGGCTAGATGCCAAGTGGTGGTTCAGTGGTATAAGTGAGGAAAAGTGAGAAAAGATGGTCAAACTGAACTAGACAAGAGACTGGACTTGAACTGACTAAGGCCCCATTCAGAACAGTGGCCTAATTAGTCTGCGGGTCAAATATGGCGACCCATTAAAAGCTTGTCGTCTAATCCGCTAATAGACACTGAATAGATTCCCCGTGGGGAAGTATTCAAGTTTGTCAACCATATTTGATCCTCTTCCTAGTCACTCCACTGTTCTGAAACTGGCCTAAGATGATTTGAATGAAAGAAAAGGTCGAACTTTATATTGGACATTTAGAGGATAAAAAGCAATTCTAAAAATGTCTGAATGGGAGTATTTTGGACCATTAAATTACCATTTTTACCTTTTTCCAAACACATTATCATTATTGAGCTGTTGTAAAACAAAGCTTTCTTCAGATACCTAACTGATTTAGCAGATTAACTATCTTATCTATGCACAACTACTTTACCTGGTTTTGATGGTATTTGTATACATTCCATTTAGGACACATTAGGCTTGTACAATGAAGCACAGTGAAGATTGCTTCTTCTTACAAAAACAAAGCTTTTTCAATATCTTTCTTGGCTATGACTGGGTTCCCATATCTAGATCAATCGAACATGATGGTTCTATCTCCGAGGGGTTTCTCGCTAAATTGCTTTCAGCTTAAGCAACTTAGATGTCTGTCATGCCTACTGAAGCTGCTAAACGATAATTAATTATCCCCTAGCAGCTTCAGTAGCCATGACAGACAGTGAAGTCATTTAAGTCGATTGCAATTTAGCAAGAATCACCTCAGAGATAGATCGATCCACAGTTAGTATGATAGGGTTTGGGAATGGTCTCTATAAGATGCTCTTTCACAGAGACCAACATCATATATAAGATTTTTTTCAAAAAATGCTCTTGTTCACACTTGTACAGTGCTGTTCCAAACATTTCTTTAATGTGTTTTATGCTTTATTTTTATTTTTTATTTTTATTTTATCATTTTTTGTTTATGTTACTTTTTTCTTAGACCCCGGTCTTAAATTCTCAGTGGTGCAGAGTGACTTACCATTGCATTGGAATCCCTGTTTGCCAAAGCCCCTGGAAAGAGAAAAAAAGCACAGTCATTAGGACAAACACCTATCAGCAGTCGATCAAAGCCGAAAACCTCATTTCTGAGACAGCTTAGCAATTTGACAATGTTAGTGCATGTGTGAAATTAGACTTTCTGATGCAACAAGGAAAAAACGATTGCCATAAAGCAATAGGAGTACATGTAAGTGCATGTTGTACCACATTCCTGAAAAACACAGGCACTAAATTTTTGAATAAGATGATCTAGGTTTTCATATTATTATGTTGTTGATAGATGGATTGCAAGTCAAAATATTCAATGCAAATGGTTTCCAAAAAGCGATTTTATAGTTTTCTAAACTAAACTGGAAATAGTTTGACCGACCTCACCATGCAACCGGACTGTTCGATGTAATATTTAAAATCACGTAGTGAAATTATGGCACAAATCAAATATTCACCAACTATCCAACACTAGTGTACTTCTGCAATGTTAAGTAGTCTGACAAAGTCTACTTACAAAGTGTAACCTTATATTTTTTTTAACAAAAAATTAAGTTTATCTTTCAATGCAAACTCCATGTATTGGGTGTCCCAAAAGAATTTTTGTTCTGCACCCTAACTATATGGGAGACTCTCTGCAGCTCCCAGTAGACCAACAAATATCAATCCTAATTGATTAGTGTAAAAAGACTTATTCAGCCCTTATTATCTACATTATTTTTCATACTGCCAATCCATTTTACTCTGGTGATGACAGCAGGCAGAATAAAACTTTCATGGAATCCTTAATGTCATCATCAACCAATGGCAATTTACCAGATCTCTCAAAAAATGTTCAGGTATATAATCATATCAATTATACTGGTGCTTGCAGACATTAAGTCTGATATGGGTACTGGGAAAAGACTAAATTATCTTAAATATCTCTGAAATCGCTAGGCACACTTAACAAAACAATTTAGTGCATAGTGCACATGTATGTCATACAGTATCTGGACCATATATAATGTGTGGGCATGCTACTGGTAGTAGAATTAAACACTGTATATTCTGAGGCTAGTGACAATGTGGCTTCATACCCACAGGAACTGAAACTGACAAGCTGAAAATGTCAATGTGTGAAAAATAAAAATTTCCCAAATATCTTTGATCATAGCTTGAAGAATAATTATCCAATCAGGTTCGTTTTCATACTTGAACTGTATTTTATTCCTGCGAATCATTCCTGAAAGTTAGAGAATAATAAGTAACATGCATTTTTCCTTTTTTTTCTGATGTTTATTAGGAAAGTGCAAGGCGACAGTAACATTAAAAGTGTCAAATGTGCCAGAGATTATTGAGAGCGATTAATCTGAAATTAAAATGCAGTGTATACTTAGTAGATTACAGTAATAGATGAGTATGATTTGTTTTGAGGCTTTTTATTTACTTTTCTAATGATAAAATTGATTCATAGAAAGAGGAGAAAATGTCACTCTTCTTTGACTTGGAATCGAGAAAGCTCAAACATGCAGTTTGCAGTAAATAGTTTAGGGTTGAGAAAAAGAACCAGACTACAAGTAAACCACAAAAGACCTGGTTGAAAGCTGGCCAAATATTTTGTGCTCCATTACGCAATGCTCACGACAAGTATTTTATGTTCATGCCATGAAATCAATCACATTTTGACTCATTAATTGACAAATCTTGGGATCACAAATGACAATTATCGTTTATGAGGCCTGAAAAAGTTCATTCTCCATTTCCACCTGATAAGACGTTACTGCCCTTTGTTTCCATAATAAATATGCTCAACAACACAACCAGACTGAAGGTAAGGAGCTAATTTCTACCATAAAATTTACCTACATGACAAACTTTCCAGGAAAAAAGAAAATATTGTCCAAATATTATTTGATATACAGCTTTAAAAAGTTGGTAGAAAAAGTCCCTACATCAACTATTGATGATTCTAGAATGACTGCCAAACCACAAATGGTCTAGATATGTTCAATTAAACTAATGCATATTCATCAAAAACAGTGCCAAAGTGGGAATGGAGGAAATTGAAAATAATTTGGCTCACATTTCTCGGTCTCAATGGCACTTGCTGAGAATAAAATGAAACATCACTGGCCAATTATAGTGACAAAAAATCGGTGACTGACCCAATATCTTATTATATATATCTGGGGATTTCATATATAAAAGTGGGTGTATGTCAGAGTGATAATGCACATCCAGTATGAATAAAAATGAATCATGTTAAACCTTGAACATTTCTACAACAAAATACTTTTGGGCACTTTTTTCACTTATTAAACCTTACTACTATTATCACTGTGCTATATCTCACATAAAATGCCCTTAGTAAAATCTCATAATAAAAAGACAAGCCTTTCTAGGGAGCAGAGTGAGATACTTCATATAACTTCCAAAATATTTTCTGTTTCTGGCAAAAACAAAAAGATGTCCATGAATAGAGAGGATCCCTAATTTTTTTACATTAATGGTATTTTCCACATTGATAACAACATAGTCACCAACCCTTAACTATTCAGCTGAAAAATAATCATTAACATCTTAGATAACCAACTAAAGTCATTTGAAAACCTTCAAATGATATGTTTATCACTGCAGATCAACACCATTCAATAACTTTTCATTGTCATAAATCCCATTTTAAGTCATAATACATTCTCTTTATTAATAAAATTATAACTTCTGTTCAGAAATTATTTTTATGTGAAGTGAAAATGCAAGGAATGTTATGTAGTGTGTTACTGATAAATCAACATGGACAAAAAGTGGGGAAAATTTTGCCTTGTTTAAAAAGTACATGTATGTACGTAGTAGCTAGATGCATACATGTAGTAGGGTAGTCCAATCATCAGCAAAGAATTTTAATCATTAGCTTATGCACTCAAAGTAATAAGGTTTTCCCAACAACAGCTAAAAATTACAAGACACCTCTATTGGGGAACGAGATCAAAGATGTTACAGTGGCAGTTGTATTTAATAGTATACAATTATTGACTTTGGCTGAAGTCACCTCTCAGCTAGGTTCAGTCCTTTGGCTTCAATGTATCCCAGTTAAGGGTTGTACTCAACCAAGAGGTGACCAAAAAACTATCAAGTCTATAACTGGTTTGTCACATGATTGCAAATTTTGAAATCAAAATACATTGAGAACTTTCAAAAGTTTATTGTTGAACAAACAAAACAAAATGCATGGTAGGGTCACATAAACCAGACCCACCACCATGCAACATTGCATGTGAAAAAACGACAGGCTCAATCAATCCTCTATTCTCCTGTCTTATTTCAGCGAAAAATTTCTGTAAATACTGGTCCAAATTGGGTATCTCAAGCATCACGAAACAAGTTAGATTCCATCAAAAGTAGCAAATCTGCCCATTTTGCAGTGTTGTGTGAGTGAACCCCAGCATATGGGAATGGAAAATCAAGCATAGTGTTCTGTAGTGTATGATATCAGCAACTTAACCATTCATAATGTGCAACCGTGGGACAGAAATAGTCCAATAACTTCTAATGAAATTAGTTTGACATGTGTTTTTATGGGGCTTTAAAATCAATACTCAATTAATATTTTTACATATTATTATTGTGAAAGAGAGATAAAAATGTATTATTTGAAGCATTCAAAGTACGATGAGCTTTTTCACGCAACTAAATTGATTCATAAGCTGAGTTCCAAGAAATGAAGACTTACTAGTATTCAATATGGCAGAATGAATTGACGGGTTAAGAGATCAACTCACTAAAATAATTGACCGCATTTGATCATGTAACAATACCTAGAAGTGCAGTTACACCCCCCTTCCCTGACCGTCTATGTTACTTCCATAGAAAATTTAGTAGCAAACAGAGGTCACAGAAAGTGGCTCCATCATTTCTCTTGACACTGGCTCTTCTGTGTCCTGTTGTTTCATTGTGTTCACTCAATGCTGATTTAATTACTGTCTCCGATGTTCAGTAATTTTTGCAGTTTTGTTGTCATTTCCACTATAGACCTCCCTGTCTCTCCAAAATACACCTCTCCATATATATCCCTCTTTCCTCTTCATATATCACTTCAATTTTGTCATCTTTTTCGAAAAAGTGTTTTAAACTCACAAACAGCCTATTGGAGAGTGAATCCCATTTTAATGCCTACACTTATGTTATATTTCTTTAATGTGTGTCACAGGCATTCAGATATTGGATATGTATTGGAGTGATAATAACCATTTTAGCAAGATGTTGTTGGAAGAACCTATTACAGGTACTTAAAGGATATTCCTGAGTTTTAAACCTCTTGAAACTGACTCTCTCAGCATTTCATACCTTCAATTAAACTGCACATTTAACATACGTATGTACATATATGTGTACTATACACATGTGCCGCCTTAATTCTCATTAGGTCAATTTTTATTATATTTGAACTTTTTATTGTAACCTATCTCAATTCCTCTTTCTGTGCAGTTTAACATATTTAATTTACAACTCATGTTGTACTGAACTCCTTATCTTATTTGGGTACTTCAATTGGAAATGTAGTAAACTGCCAGCCTACAGCTATGTTTGTCTCTTTTTCACCTCATATAATTGCACAGGGAAGTAATGAATGAAACGGCTGACAAAATGTCAAACGTGGGAGTGAATGTCAACCCGATATGACGAACCTTGAACCCCTTGAATCTTTACCGCAGGCCAAGCATTACTACTACATTCAACTTTCTGAGAAAAAAGGATGTTCATCATTTCTCAGAACCATTCATACATCAATTGAAAGGATTTGAGGCAATGTTGAAGTGTCCTTCACTTGTATGCTCTATGCTATCCTCTTGGAAAACCACATGATGACAATCCTGAGAAAATATTAAGCTACTTCTTAAAATTGAACATTATAACTCCATTCATAAAGATATCTATCCAGAGTTGAAGAATTGTATAATAATAGTTTATTAGGTAAAATTGCAACCCTAAGGTTGAAGTTGTACTGGTACAAAGTTTGTTTAAAAGAAGATTAACAATGAACT